TCAATTCTTAATCTATCTGTCTTTATCTTATTATTTTCTGTCCTTTCTTTCTGAGTTTCGTTTGCGGCACTCTGAAGATGGCGCTGACTTCAATATTTTTATCCTATCTCTGTCCTTCTCTTATTATCTGCTCTCCTTGTCTATATATGTTTCATTTACGGCTCTGAAGATGGCGCTGATTCCGATATTTTTATTCTATTTCTATGCTTCTTAAATTTTTAAGATAATATTTAATAAATTTTTATAACATGAAAAAAATTACATATTATGTCTATTCTATATTTTATTTCTATATATACTTTTAACAAATGACAAATTGAAAATTCAATAACACTGAATATGTTTAATTAACTATTTATAATTTATTTTTTTTGGTATTTTTACAATATAACATTTTTTTAAATGAAATTGATAATAATTTAACTAAAATTTTCAAAATTGTATAATGTTTCGAGAATAGAATAATATAAAATAAAATTTAACTATTAAATTATAGATATAATCTATAATATAATATAATTATATAATATAATTATAAGATGTTTTATATATATAACATAATATATAAATTTTCATTTAAAGATTTTATCACATCAATATATTATCATCCATATAATATGACTAGCATTAGAATTAATACATTATACATGAGGTAGAAATTATTTGAATATTTACAAACTTGTTAATTATACAAATTATAAATTAATTGATACAAACTTTTTTTTTTGACATTTGCAATTTATGTTAAAATACGATGCTACTGTGCTACTGTGCTATTTATAATAAACAATATAATCATTTATGAAAGTTAATTAATGAAGAAAATATAATGTCTTTGTATGCTATTAAATAGAATAAATATTAAATTAATTAAATTAAAATAAATAATAAAAAATCTTATTAAATTCTTATTTAAGACATTCATTTCAAGCTATGGTTACTAATACATATATTATTTTATGTATATAAATATGCATGTATATATGACTAAATAAAAAATAGTACACATTCATTGATGAACTTTGAAATTATATTTCAAAGTGAAATAAATTAGTTTTTAGCAAAAATTAATATATGTATTTGTATATAATATTGTATATAATGTTTATTCATTATATTAATATCATTAAAGAATAAATAGAATAACAACTATTTTACATATTTTAACTACAAGATTGTTTTAAATATTTTTTCAACAAAGTTGAAGTTTTTATCCTAAAAACTCTTAGTTTTTAGAATGTCAGTAGAAACGCAATTATAATATAATAAAGTATTATTATAAAATAAATTTGTGTCTTAACTATAGTACTATACATACTTTGCACATATCACCGATTTTAAAAATTTTTTAAATTTCAGATAAAAATTCTATATTTGTAATTTATATTTGAATGAAGAATTATCCATTGTCTCTATTGTTTCTTGTTCATTCATATTATTTTGATCATATACTGTAAGTACATCTGATTAATATAAAAAATGTTTAATAATATTTAATCTATTTCTATAGTTTTATATATTGTGGAATGCCTATTAATTTGTCAGATATGATAATTTAAAAGTTTGACATTTTTCTTTGTAATGTAATCCAATCCACAATTTTTTGTTGAAATCTTCTTTTTTGTAATAAAACTTCAGCAGCTTTTTGAAATTTTTCTTCATTTCTACGGATGTACATTTTTGCATCCTGTTCTAATTGACTGATCTTCTCAGGACGTATTTCTACCATTGATAACATCTCCGTCAAATATGGATTAAAACGAAAATAAACATATTCTGGTAAGAGGTCGTTCAACATCGTATGTACAGCTGCACAATGCATCGTTATTAATATTTAAATACATTCAGTATGATGCAATGAAATAAATATTTCAATAAGTAATCCTAATACCTTCTGTATCAGTTGCACTATCTAAAATTTTATAAAATTTTTCTTTCCAACTTGAAATCGCAATTTCCGCCGATTTTTTGCTATTTCCACAAATATGACTCGGCGTTCTTCCAGTTCCAAATGAAACCACGCATTGAATTGGACTATTTGGCCATAATTGTTTAGCTTCGTGTAATGCAACTGCACAAGGATTATTTACTAAAATACCTATATAAAATTAAAATATTAGTAAATTATTTATTAAACTTTTAATATTAACATCAATATTATATAAAATTATATAATATCTATACCTCCATCTTGATGAAGATATTCACCACATTTAAATTCTTCAAAATAACTAGGTGCTGCGGCAGATGCTCTAATAGCTTCCCATAATTTATGTTTATGAGATCCTATATATAAACTTTCGACTCTGTGAGGTAAAGTGTAATTTCGAAATACATAAGCCATTACGCGCTCATGATTTACTATAGCAGATATAGCTGAAAACTAAAAAATTTTTGTATTAAAGTTAACAAATATTTAATTTTTAATATTTTCAATATCATCTCAATTATTATATTTTGCTTATAAATAGAAGATAATATATACTTTTGGAGAAGTAGAATCGCGAGCAGTTTTTATAAGAATTTTTTCTCCTAAATGTTCTTGCAATAATTTTTCCCAAAGAGCTGTATCATAATATCCATGGCTCCATACCAAGTTGCTTGTACCTTTTATAGCACTTTGAGTAAATACTTTGGCACTTAGTTCTTTGTATAATTCTGATATCTCATATAATGATTTTCTTTTATGTCCTCCTATAAATAATGTTGTTATTAAAATGTTAAATACAAAATTCTAATAAATTTTATTATTTCATATTATAACTTTTCTTTTATAAATGTTTTTACCTTGAATAAAAATTAAATACAAAACTAATAAAAAAAAAAAAAGAAAGATTCATAATTTCATCATAGTAAAATAATTAAAATTAAATTATTTACATAATTAACTTTGAAATATTATATATATACAATTATATATACATATACATACCTAAAACAGCAGCAAGAATAGCTCCTGTACTCACACCACATATATAATCAAACATTTCATAAGTTTTTTTACCCGTTAGTTTCTCAAGTTTTTTTAACATTTCTATAACTAATACTCCACGCATACCTCCACCATCAATAGAAAGAATTCTAATACCTCTGCCAGGCAATGGATCAGTATAACCTAATACTGTTAATGCTTCTCTTATAGGTGCTGAAATTTCAAAACATTTAAAATGCTAAAAATCTTATTTATACATTTTCTTTCTTTCTTTCTTATTAAAAATTCTTATTTAAATAATTTTATACCTCTTATTTGTTCATCCTTAATTTTTTGTCGAGTTCTAAGCAATATTTTAATTGCTCCTTCCTTAATAGCATAATGTCTAGCTTCTGAATATTGATCAATATGTAATAATAAATCTTCAATTCTCCTCAAACATGAAGCATTTGATTCAGCAGTTGCGATAGCATTCAAAACATGACGTGTTCTAGATGCAATACTGTGTTTTGGTATATTTTTATGAAGATTTATTTTCCATTTTGGTGATACAACTAATCCAGCTGTTTTACTTTGAGCGGAATTAAATATTAGTGCGTTAAGAAATTGAGAAAGAGATTGGGATCCTATTTTAGCTTGAAATTTATTCTCACTTGTAGTATCTTCATGAGTTTGCTGTAAAAGTTATTAAATATAAATAAGAAAATTATTTTTAAAAAAATCATTTGAATCTACATTTTTCATATTATTTAAATTATTGGACTTACTTTTTTACATTCACTAGTATTGGTAGTTAATGTCTTTTCTTCTGAAGTTTCTAATATTACATTTTTTTTTCTTTTTCACTATTATTACATTTTTCTACATCTGATAGTTTTGTATCATTTATGTTTTTTGAAAATTCAATTGGTGATAACTTTTTCAAAGTATTTATTTGCGAATACGTTACTTTTTGTAAAAAATCTAACCAATTTTTGGATAAAATAATTTGTAAACTTTTGTCATAACCAGATTTATGTAAGAAATCTTTCAATTGCATTAAAAGTTTTGTATGATTTTGCATAGACATTTTCATTTTCCATAAAGAGGCATTTTTAATACGATTTAACAATTTATTTTTATTAACACTTCCACTATAACCTTTACCCGCAGCACTATCTGTCAATTGTCTGAAAATACAAAATACACGTTTATCATTCCATACACTCATTCCATACTTTCACTTTGAAGTAAGAAATCATTAAATTTAAAAAAATTTTCATTTATCTTATACAAATATTTTATTTCATCTTATAAAAATATAAATAATCTACAACAATATTTAAAATATTATATTATAATTATAATAAATAAGTTTCTATCCAAATACTCTTATATTATATGATTATTTAAATCTAAACGTTTTAATATTTGCTTAATTTCACATCGACTATTCCCGAACAAAGTTTATTCAAAGTGTAACTATTATTAATTCAAACGTAAGCTCAATATATACATATACGTATATGTATGTAATGTTATATTTAACATATGCTTACATATAAATATATTTCGAAATATTTAATTAGAAATTAATTTAGAGATAACTATAAAAAAGGGGCATTATAAGAAAAAAAAGATTATAAAAAAATATATTATTTAATATCTCAACGTTAGTTTTTTGTAAGATTTCATTGAAAATTGAAGAAATCAGTGAAAATTAACATAATATATACGTTTAATTTCTTAAACGGATATAAAAAAATTATTTTTTATCAAAGAATGACATACAAAATTAAGATGATAATAGAATATTTTATTATATTATCGTTTACCTCGATAAAAAGATTAATCTTTGACATTTAATACTTGTATTTCGCGTCATTATTTATTTTATTTTATATTTCTTTTTTCACTTTTTATATTAATATTATAAAATTTTGCGAGATAAATTAATTAAATGAATTATGAAAAATTAGTGACAATTTTTTAAAATGTTTGTAACAGTTTTAGTTTTTAATTGATTTTCATTATATTTTATAGATCATTTAAAGATAATTGTTAAGATTATAATTAAGATAATAATTATAATTAATTTTTTTCTTTTTTTCGTCTTTGATTTTTCTTTGTTGTACTCAACACTTGTACTTTTCTTTGTGGTACAAAGTACTTACATAGATACTAAATTATCTCGAACACTAAATACACACTAATCTAAATACCTTTGATTCAGCTTTTATAAAAGAACTGATGACGTAGTTGACAACATTCATTTTGTAAATAAAATCACTGTTCCACCAATGAGATTTGTTGGTAGCTGTGTATAAGATACTACTTTAGTAGGTAATATGATTAGAACAAGTGTTGTATATTAATATTAACTATATTGTTCACATCTTTTGTATTATCATATCAATAATTACATATATAAAGTTGAAAATAAAGAAAAATAAAAATATTTTTTCTTTTAGGAATGTAAATATTTATATAATATTCTGTTCATTAATTAAAATTTCTTTGTTTATAAGTGTTTTAAATTGTTATTTCTGTATTTGTTTCCTTTGTTATACTATATTTCATTATTATAATGAGAAAAAAAATTATAAATTATTTAATCCTGATACATATACTATATAAATTTTTCTTCTTATATGTGAACATATACACAAAAATTTTGAATCTAAATTTTTTTTAGGTTATATTATATTATTTCTAAAATATATGATTTATTAACGATATAGCATATCAAAGAAAGTATTATAGAACATACACGATAACTTGAAAGTAGACTAACAGTTATGAAATGACTTTAAGAACAAATATAGATAAAGAAATTAAGTAGTGGGAAAAGGATAGAGATAAAATAAAAATTATGAAATCAACGCCATCTTCAGAGTGCCGCAAATGAAACTCACAAAGAAAAGACAGAAGATACTAAGAAAAGGATAGAAATAAAATAAGAAGGATCATTAACGTCATCTATTAAATTCCAAAGATATCTCTTCAAAAACAAGTAAATTAGAAAGGTAAGTTAGAATTAAGAATCGACAATTATCGCCATCTCTTAAGTATTTTTGAATATATCAAATGCTATTGAATTCTGCTCATACTTAATAGATGGCGCTAATGATCAATTCTTACTCTATCTCTATCTTTCTTCTATTATTTTCTGTCCTTGTGTATTGAGTTTCATTTGCGGCACTCTGAAGATGGCGCTGACTTCAATATTTTTATCCTATCTCTGTCCTTGTCTTACTATTTGCTCTCCTTGTCCCTCTTTACTTCCTTTTGGCGCGGATCACAAGATACGGAATGCCTATTGAACATATTTTCATTATATATATTTTTTTAAATATATATATATATAGAGCATTTCAAGCTCAATGCTTTATAAATTATTTTAATTTTCAAATAAAATATATATTTATTCTTAATTTAAATAGCAGAATATTTTATAAAATTTTTTATTTTAGAAAATTGTTGAAATATAATATTTTAATGTTCAAATATGCAAAAAATATTTATTTCAAGAATTTTATTTTAATAGTACTGAATTGCGATATAAATTCTATTGCAGATTTTATGTAAAAAAATTTTAACTATATTAAGTAACTATGTTAACAAAGACAAACAAATTTTATCAAAATCTATAATCTGACTAGACTGATAGATTGTTTGGTAACATTTTTTTTACTAACAAGATTTTTCAACTTATTTTTCAAGGTCAGCGTTGCAAGCGAGGGTGGACGATGGCAGAAAATGCATCGATTATGCATTCGTGACCCTTATTCCACTCGAAGCAAAGGTGACTTTGCCAATGATGAGGCTAATCGGAAAGAGAAATTTTGCCAGTCATATCGGATCAACTTTGTGCAGAAACTGCATCAAACTTCCTTCGTATTCCGAGGCTGTGGTTATTTAACGTTGGAGATCCATCCGTTTTTCAGTTTATCAATGTAATGAATTTGTAATGAATTTCAAAGCCTTTGCGTGGGATGATAAAAAATTTTCGAAACATGCTCGGATATATTGGAACACGCTAGTACTCATATTTTTAAGAAGATGATTTAAAAAGATGGATTTCTATGAATGTTTAAAGATATTAAAATTGATTCGAAACTTATTTTTTTTCTTTTCAATTCTAATTTTGAATTGGAACTGGAAAATCAGATTAATATAATATAAGTTCATTTTTTCTGAAACAAGTTATATGTATGCACAGAAGATATTCATATATATATATATATTCATGAAATATAATAATTCTGAAGGATTGATTGAATTTAAAGATTAAAATAAATAGAAATATTTATACAAAAATTATACTCGTTCATTTAATTTTACTTAGATAAAACGAGATGAAGATGAAATGTGATGGAGATTTTTAATCGCTTCATCTAGAATAAAAATTAAATCGCACAATAAAAAAATATATATATTATATTATACATCATAATGATAATAAATCATTTGTTATTTGATATGTTTTATTTTCATTAAATTATTATATAATATTAATATTTATAATATTCTCGATATATCATTAAAAAAATATCATATCCATCATTTTAATCCATGATTATATTCGTTGAATTTTTATGATCGATGTAGAAATAATTCTCCTACGAAATCTATTATAATAAAATTTTACATTTGTAAACCATTATATATTGTGGAAATATTTCTTTTTTAATTTTATCCTTTACGTTCATATATTCAGCTGATCCAAAAATATTTGATTCACTTTTATTATTCAACAAAGGAATTCTGATTAAAAATTTAATTGACAGAAAAAAAATATACCAAATAAAATAATTCTTTTTTTTTTTTAATAAGAGTTAACACGAGTACAAAGAAAATTAGAAAAATGATGAAAATACGGGTATGATATATTTCTTTTCTTCCAGTTGTGTTTCCCTCCTTAATGATGCATATTTCACACCCAACTATGAAAGCATTCGTGTTTTCTGTCCTAGTTGACCGTTGTTAAGGGGATTATTAGTGGTGTGCAACGTTTAAGCTGAAAATTATAGTCATCTTTGTTTGTGAATCCGAGAGTAATTTTAGCAGAACTTTGTCTTCTGTGTTTGTAACGTGTTCTTTGTTAAATGTGAAATAGACTATTACTACTTTTTTGTTCGAACAAAATGTCATAATGCTTCCTACTTCTGTTTGCAATTATTATACACACAATTCTTATGATCTTCCTTTTAATTTTTCGTTAAATAAATAGAATCTTCATAGAGAATATTTATGTTAATATTCAATATTTATTTATAGATCATTATATTATAAATTTCTATATTTCTATGAAAGAAATCGTATTCATTTCTAAATTTTATAACGTTATTTATATATTTTCTTCATATTAATTATCACGAAAATTTCTTTCTTTTCTTTTCAGTTTGTTTCCTTTTTTTTTTTTTTTCTTTAAAGTTTGCATTTATTTTTCATAATAATTTTTATCATTTTCTCAAAATTACACACAAAATTATAAATTAATTATATAATATTTTTATATTCAAACTACGTTTATTTTAAAATTGAAAGCAAAAATTTTTAATAAAAGATTTTTATGGAAAGTTAAAAATTTGTTTAACATATTAAAATAACGATAAATCGATATTCATCGATCATGATTTTATAATATTGCAAAATTGTAAACTGATATTTTGATTAAGAAAACATTCTCGATCATTTTGATAGGAAGCACAAGCATATTTCTTCTATAACATGAATTTTAGTATACCATCGCTATGGTTTACTTTCATAAATCGATTTATCGAAACTTGCATGATACTGATTGATAAATTATGCGTGTCATTGAATTCTAATTCATCTACAAAAAAATGTACAGAAAATGTACAGAATATTTCTTTCAATAGGATGAAATAATATATTGTATTATAATTTGCCAAACAAAATAATAAAATATCGATAAGAAATTAACATTTAAAATTGTTTCGCGTAATATTTTATTTTAATAAGATTCAATTTTTATAACTGTTTTTAAAAAATAAATTAAGTAAAAAATTTTTGTTTAAATTGACAAAATTAAAAATTGTATAACACGAACGAAAGAAAATTAAAATTATGCGTGCTGTATTTCACTGTAGGTAAAAAGTACTTGAAAAAATTTCGAACGAGAAGTTCGAACTTTCATGTTTCGTCGAGAAAGTACAAGGAAGTTTTGAAAATTCCACAGGCGACGACACATTTCTCTGGCGGAAAGAGAAGAGATCGTGGTAAAAGTTTGATGAGCTTGCTACGAAAGTAACTCGTAG